GTTAAATGGCACAGTACTAAAAGAAAAAAGAAAAAAAGCTGCCACTGGGGTGCTACATTTTCAATAGTAACTAATAATTAGCAGTTAAGTGCCAGTGTGTGTACTTAAGGTACTAATTTGTACAATGAAGGCACAAATATGCACCTTTTAGGGGTAAATAGGGTACTAATGCATACCTTTTGAAAATTACTGTCCTAGTGACAGCTGTTGAAGCTTTTTTTCTCAGAGCGTAGATGTTTGGTGTGTCCAACAAATGTGCTGCCAATTTATGTTTAACATTTAAAATAACACAAAAAATAGGACAATGGCCTACAGTGCATATACATAAAAATTTAAATAAAAATTAAAAGGTCCCACTTTATATTAGGTAGCCTTAGATACTTTACTACAGTATGTAATTGCATCAAAAAATAAATACACTTCAATTACTGTTTATAACGTATTCCAGAACACTTCTGGTGCTTTTGAGGTAGGATACGGGTAGGGCTAGTGACAGGTTTGGTGGTATGGGTAGGTTTAAGAGTGGGTTATGGTTTAAGGGATGGTCAACATTGTAATTACAAGTGTAATTACAGAAATCTAATGCAGTTGTAAATACATGAAAACATTTAATTAATCATAATACAAACAAAATCATGCATTTACCCAATACAGTGCCTACATTGTAACAAATGAACACATTCAGTGTAAGTACATATTAGTTGAGGCCACCTACTGTCATTTAAAGTGAGACCAAATAAATTAATAAAGGTAAACATATTCACATTAATGGATGAAAAAATAAATAAAGGAAAGTTCACCAAAAACATTACAATCCTGTTATCATTTACTTGTTTTTCACTTGTTCCAAACTTGTTTCAATTTCATTCTTCAGTTGACCACTAAAGAAAACATTTTGAACAATAATGGAAACTAGAGGTCGCTATTTTTATTTCTTTATTTTTTTTGGATGTCAATTGCTACTAGTTTCCAACATTCCTCACAATATCTTCTTTGTGTTCCACGTAAAAAAATGGAATTTTAAAAAATGTGGAACTGCATCAAGGTAAACAAATGCTGAGCAATTCATTTTATTATTTGATGGTGGTGGTTGGGGGGCTATTATTAGTTATTATTAGTTACTTACACTGGTGACCAAAAAGCTTCAGCAACTTATTGTTTGCACTCAAACTCTTAAACATGAAATGAGAGTGCAACCCCCCCATATATTGACAAAGCGTTTTTAAGTTTAGATTTAAACACAACATCAGTTGGATCATGTAATTTTTATAAACTGCACTGTACAATAACCTGGCTCTATATCACACTCACAATGCTTTTATTCCCTATATTTTGCACATTTTGTGATCTTTTGCACATTTCCGACTCCCAAAGTCATTTGCACTAGTCAGTGACCATATATAAACAAATGCTATTTACATACAGTACCTCACTGTATAAGCCACCTTGTTTATACCCACTGTATAATCAGCTTCTGTTTATTTAAACTTCCATACACACTATATTGTATTTACAGTCATTTGCATTGAGCCGGTCTCTGCCCGTCTACCTTGTAACTGGCACTGTATGTCAAAATGTTAATGTATGCATACATTTTTTTTTAATATGTTTTTATTTATATACCTTGTTATTTGCAATTCTGTTTAGATGCTAATTGTATTTATTTGGCTCTGTTTTTATACTCTGCACAAAATTTAATCCAGTCTAATCTTAAAAGAAAAAAAAAGTTAAAATAGGCTGGAGATACTTTTCCAGCAATATATGAACATAGCCTTTAAAAAATTATTTGTTGAGTTAAAATAAGTGAGTAAACCTGTTGCTTTTAAAAGTGAGTTATAAGCGGTTGCCTTGAAATTTATAAGTAAATGAGATGTATGTGCATAATTATAATAAAAGTTAAATTAACTTAACAGTTCCAAGTTACAATGGGTTTACTCACTTGTTTAAATAAATTCAACTTGTTGCTTTAAAATCGATGGTTTTAGGGGAGCGCAGGAGGCATAAAGTATGGTGTAAAATGTAACAGAGTTTTAATGTATTTGCTCAGGGTCAATCATGCCATGCTTCTGAGGTTTTCACTACAGTTAACGTCCACAGACAGACGTCTTTCTGTCAATTACTGAAAAAATGTGGCGAAATTTGGTGGAGAAACACAGAAGAAACCATTTTTGCAGATAGTTTTTTATATATAAAAATAAATCTGTGAAAGTATGTACGTAAAATCTTATATTGTTGTGATTACCGTCTTCTAGGCTAAAAGATGGAACCATTTTGAAAGATGCAAAAACACAGTGACTGCTAGCCAGATTTGGTGAAAACACATTAGTTGTTACAGGGTGTTACCAATAAGCCACACATTGCTGGACACAAACTAAACTTACAAAATACTTTTTGAATTATGTGTGTAATGTTGTGAACTTTGTTTAAGAAAAATTAATAGATTTTTTTAAAGAAAAAATTAACTGTATTGCTAATAATGCAAATTAATGCATTGTACAATAATTTATAACAATGCAAATAAATATAAATGTGTTTCATCCAACAGATAAATAAATAAACATGATGTGCTATGAAAAATAAAAAACAAAAAACATTGAGTTAAGTACTGAGGAAATATGCTATTTAAAGTAAACTGAATTTAAATTAATTGTGTGACTTTATAAACATGTTACAGTACATCTAACCCTCTGTCTGTTACAACATTTTTTCTCTTGGAACTTTTGGCAATACTGCTTAGGTCCAGCGATCATACAACCAGTGCTCATTAGTAGGAGAGGTTTGTGTGTTGTTAGTTAAAAAATAGGGTTTGTGTAACCCCAATACTTAACTCATTTTGTTTTTTACTCTAAATAATCACTTTATACAGTGTATTAGATTGGGCGAGAGTTACGATTAGGTGAATATATATTCTTCTCAATAAAGAAATAAATCGCACAATAAAAATGACACCAGCGAGAAATCAGCAGTTAAGAAAGTATCAGATTGCAGTGCTGTATATATGTTTGTCTTTCTGCAATATGTTCTATCTGCAAACCTTTTTTTTTTTCTTAACAATCATTCACCTGAAGGATATTTAATTTTGGATCACTGAAAAAAATGAGAGCATATACTGTATTGTCAAAAGAATCCAAGAGAACAAACAGTGTCTTCATGCTAGGGAATGCATTGACCAGGACCATCTGGTGTCTCCTCCATAGTGTATGTCTCCGGTCTGGCAAAGAGAGACAGAGTATTTCACTGAATTATTACAAGACTCAAGAGAGAGAGAGCGAGAGAAAAAGAGGGGGGGGGGGGGGTGGCTTTCAAACATAGTTTTTTTAAAGTCTTACAGTTGTTTTGCCAGTTACACTTAAAAGTAAATGTGCATCACATGTGGAAAGCACCTTCTGGAATAAACAGGAAACTTGTGTTAATAGTGTTTTTCCAAGATTCCTAGTCTGTTATACATATTGCATTTCCATGGAATGGAAGGCATAGCATAATAATCTTTTCTTGACTGCATAAATCTAGATTTACCAAATGTACGATGACTCTGGCTTTAAGTGTGACCATGGTCAGGCAAACGCAAGCTGTTTTTTCTTCAGTGTGGCAAGGCCTATTTTCACTTTTATCACAACAGAGGGAAGGCTTTTTGTGTGTTTTGCAGAACAGATAAAAAGTCATGATGGTTTGTCACACTGTGTGTGGGTGGAATGCACCAAAAAGGAACCACAAGTTTAAAGTGTGAAAATTATGCATGCAGCAACATTTTAACTCCTCTTTGCAGCGTCATTACTGTCAGTTAAACTTTTGAAAGACTTTGTTGCAATCCTGCGGGATAAGTAACTTCGGTGATTGCAAAGTCACTGTAGTTAGAGGTCAGAATTATTAGCCCCCTTGTCAAATCTAAATTATTTTATATTTTATCCCCAATTTCTGTTTCACAGAATTTTTTTTTCAACACATTTCTAAACATAATAGCTTTAATAGTTTATTAATTTTATCTTTGCCATGATGACAGTACATAATATTTTACTAGATATTTTTCAAGATACTATTATTCAGCTTAAAATTAAATTTTAAGGCTCAACTAGGTTAACAAAGTAAGTTAGGTCAAGTTGGAAACTCATTGTATAACAGTGGTTTGTTCTGTAGACAATTGCAAAAATTTATATTGCTTAAAGGGACTAATAATATTGACCTTAACAAATTATATTGAAATAATTAATGTCAGATTATTTTTCCCCCATGAACATTATATGAACTTTAAACGAATTTCCTCTGTAAATAAGTGCACTGACAGTCTCAGTACCTCTTTCACTTATTAACACTGACCACACACATTTTCACAGTTAGAGTGAAGGCTCTTTGTTTTCTGTTCTGTGTATTTTTTGCTGGTTATCTGCTTTCTCTCTTCCTCTTGATACTACTTCCTCTGGAGAGAGAATTTGTTCCTGTCTCTGTGATACTGACACTCTCCAGGTGGTCCAGTGTTTTCAGTAATATGCTGTGCACAATGCAGCTTTAAATGTAGGCATGTCTGTTTTGAAATTAATTTGCATATTCTGATAGCATCTATGGAACATGAAGAAGTAATCGTATGTTTTACATCAATAACGTTTACATGGCGTGTTTAGTCACAGGACTGCTGGCAGACACAGGCCTAGTTCCTGTTCTGTCTCCTAGTATTCCATCTGTTTCCTCAGACCAGACAGTGTCTCTTCTCCACTCACATTCACATCTCTTTTCTGAGCCTCCGCCCTCTTCACCCGACTTTTGCACCATCACAAAAGGTGCTCTGTTCGCATCAACCACAAGTTCTGAGCTTCATATCTTTATATCTGTCGTTTCATGCAACCTATGACAGGATATCAGATGCATTTAATCTAACACTACACATAATTTTAGCCTAACTGCATGCAGCTTGTTCCTCCATGTAGTTTTCATTTAGTTAGAGAGCTGTCAAAAGTAATTAAAGTGTGTGCCATTCCAATTACTATTCAGAGTCTCAGTTCAGAATGTGTCTTTCATGATTAGTTTATTATGTGTGTGAAGCTGACAGACATGTTGTATAAGAAAAAAATAAAACACATAGTGCAAATACACACGAACAAAAACAAATGTGATGCATCAAGGTTCAGTGAAAAGCAGACGGGTGGGAGTAAATGTTTTAGAAAACGTTGCTAAATTAATATTCTGGTCGACATTTAGTTTTGTTTTGTTTGCTAAGATTCTGGATGCAGGCTACTCAATAAAAAGCTGAACAATAATCCCACATAAATTGATAGAAAATAATACAAGTGTGAATGTGATTCACTGTTAAACTCACATAATATTAAAAACTTTGGTGGTACTAATTTGATTATTCAGAGTATATTTTGTGCTTTCTCCAACTAAATGCTAAAACTTCTGAGAACAGACAGCAGATTTAGTTGATCCGCAGTTAAATTATTTTTACACACAAAATATGCATATTTTTTTTTTTCGCAGCGATTGATGGTCCCTAATTCGTCTTGACATATTGACATTGTGGCACACAACTACACGTTCGTTGCGCGCAACGAATAGAAATGTGAGTGTTCGAGAAATGTGTTTGAATAACAGTTCCCAAGTGAGTCCACTACAGTACTTCACTCCCTACAAAAAACATACTCGGTGTAACTCGTCCAGATTTTGTCCTCGTTGGGGTCGTTACTCGCGTACGCACAGGTGCCCGTAGAGCTGCACGCAACCATGTGGAAGCCCACCTCTGCCAGCCTGTCAAAGGCTTGCTCCAGGAAATTATACTTCAGGTAATACCGAGATGTGTATCTCTCTGGGGGTCTGTCGGGGTCTCTGCTCTCGTTCAGCGTCTCCCCGAAAACTTCTTTGGCGAGAGACGTTTTGCCGCACACAGTGATTCTCGCCACCCGTCGGAATTTGGCGTCCTGTTGAAGGTCTCGTCCTATAGTGTAGGAGCCCCTGTACCCGATGGTTATGAAGCCGGTTTTCCTCGCGTCCAAAGACGGTGAGCGGGGGCCGGTGCAGGTCATGCTGGTTCCGGCGAGCGCAGCCTCCTCCGGGTCGCTCTGGCAAACCTCCTCGCTGATGGAGTTCTCCTTACTGACCGCAGGTTTCAGGCGCTTTGCCAGGTCTTGAAGTTGGAAATATTCTGCCTCTTTGAGGAGGCTCGCTTTCTCTTTGAAGTAATCAGGCAAAACCAGAGTCTGGTCCCGCAAGTAATCCAAAATATAACGGAACAAAAAGCCGTCCCTGTCCAAAAAGAAGCGTCCTTTGCTGTCGGTAGTAAGTTCCGCGGGTTTCTTCTGACTGAACATGGTCCAAAGTAAAGAATTGGGCACGGAGAGCAAAGTTGAGTGGCGCGTAACGTAAACTTGCCCTCCGACATTGAGCTCAATGATTTCGGAGAATCGCGGTGAAGAAGCGTCCGCGCGAGTCTTATCCATCTTTGCACAGCTGCGCGAGACCTCCAGTGCAATCACAGAACTGAAGAAGAGTGGAAAGAAATATTTCTGCTTTGTTTATGTAGGCTAAACAGAGTTACGTAGGAGGGGGAATCTGACGGCTGTATTAACTCTTTACTACCACCCTGCGAAAAATCTAAATGCTTACCGAATGGGGGCATCATAGAATGTTGTGATTATGAATTTACTACTTTACTATTTGGAACCTTTATGTGCAAAAGCTATGCTTGATGTTATGATTTGCGGAGTTTGTAATTTATTTGTTGTAGACAAAATCTACTTAATTATTGCTTCATTGTGAAAAAAATCACAACTTGAGTGTTTTATTTGCCTTGTGACTTAATAATATGCACAATGATGATAATACTAAGCCAAGTGGTACAGCCAATAATACTTGGATGTATGGTTGTAGTAATAATTATAATTAATAATTAATAATAATTATTAATAATAATAATAATAATAATAATAATAATAATAATAATAATAGCAATAATCATCATCATAAGTATAATAAAAACACCTATAACATAATGGGACAAGATAGTTATTTTTTAACTTTCAAAAAAATATTAACCAAACCATAGAACTTTGGTTTATTATTAGTTTTTATGCAAAACATCCAAGAGAGTGTGAACAGGCTGCTGCACGACAGCAGTGCATGTAGTGACATCTAGTGGACAAGAAGATTAAGAGTTTTTATACGCTTACAGCCTACCTAGTAGAGGGCGCTCCTTTCCATTACAATATCCCATGGGTGCTGTATTGTAAATATACTCAGCTTTTGATTTATAGCCTATATTTATTGCATTCCATTTGAAAAGACTACTCACTTTTAAAAATCTGGTTATTCATCAAGCTTTATTTTGTTTTAAATTTTAGGTTTTACTGTAACAATAATGGTTAATGGTTATAATTAATAATTAAGTAAACGTTATATATATATATATATATATATAGTTGACCTGTTTATTTTTTTCCTCAATTTCTGTTCAACAGAGAATATTTTTTTCAACACATTTCTAAACATAATAGTTTTAATAACTAATTTGTAATAACCGATTTATTTTGTGCTTGCCCTGATGACAGTAAATAATATATTAATAGATATTTTCAAGACACTTCTATATAGCTTAAAGTGACATTTAAAGGCTTAACTAGGTTAATAAGGTTAACTAGGCAGGTTAGGGTAATTAGGCAAGTTATTCTGTAATGATGGTTGGTTTGTTCTGTAGACTATCAGGAAAAAAAATAGCTTAAAGGGGCTAATAATTTTTATGTCCTTAAATGGTTTTTTAAAAATTAAAAAAATGCTTTTAAGCTGTAATAAAACAAATAAGACTTTCTCCAGAAGAAAAAAAAATATTATCAGACACACTGTGAAAATTTCCTTGCTCTGTTAAACATCATTTGGGAAATAAATAAATAATAAATAATATATATATATATATATATATATATAGTTTTTTAAACTTCATTTTTAATTTACCCTTTTAAAGGTTGTTTTAAATTCCACAGAACACAATCTAACTAATCAGTTAGTCCTGACAGCATATGTTTTTAGTTCATTGTAACTTATTAAACTAAGTTAACCATGTTCTAACTTCATTTTATAAGTTACACAAGCTGTTTTAAGTCAGTCTAACATAATGTAAGTTAAATGGACTCATAAGGTTAACTTGATTCAGCTTTTTGATACAGCATTTTTTACAGTACTGTGTATTATAATCAATGTCAACATTAAAATAATTCGATAAACAAAACCATGCAATTCTCAGATTCAAGAACTGCAACACGTAGGCTGGTAAGCCACAGTCTCCTGTAAGCAAAACATTTTATAAACAAAATGCAAAATGCTGTCTAGAGAACGGTCCACACATCATTGACTGCTAAAGAACCTCTTCGTAAATTTCCCAGAAGGCCTATTGAGCGTGCTGGAGTGTGGGAATAGTCCTCCATCATCCGACCACTGAGACACACTTACGACTGTGGGCAGATGGGAAACCACTTTTTTTTTTTTTTGTTTTGTTTATAAAGCATTTCCTTCATCTAAGTTTTCTGCAGTTTATGCCTTCAAGCACATCTAAGAAGGGCATTCAACCCCTTGTGCATCTTTATGGACATTTTTGTCTTTTTAATTTTTTTTCCTTTCTCTTAGTTTTTTTTTATTTTGGTTGAATGCAAACAGAGTTCAAGTTCAAGAAGCTTTAGTCACATTTTGTACAATATGGCCTAAGCATTTGGAATGTGGAGCCCATGTAAAATATTATAATCAAGTTGAATAATCGAATAAAACAATGAATAAAAACAGATAATACAACTATTAGTTAAAATAACTACAAGAATAAAAAATGTAGAATATTTACATAAATTACATGAATTTAGATGACATATTTCTTAAGTTGTGAATACATTTTTACAGCCAGTTAAATGTAATTTTGTCTTCGACAGTGGTGGAAAGCGTAAAAAATCATACCCAAAAGTTCCATTACTTCCCCAAAATGTAAGCAAGTAGAGTAAAAGTATCTGTTGTAAATATTATTCAAAGTTTGAGTAAAAAGTAGCCCTTTTAAAAGTACTCAAAAGGAGTGAATGAGCATTATGCTGTGAATGGCTAATACGTTTATGTACAATTTATGCGTTTGTGTGAAAATGTAACATTCTGTAGTGCATTTACTTAATAAGGCAGTTTGGCAGTTTCAGTCATCATAAATATTCTTCATCTTCTCATCAGTGACATTAATCTAAACAATCTCTAGGTCATTGCGTGTAAACATTTTGGACATCTTCTTGGACACTTTTAATGCTTGCAAATGGTTTGCTGCATTTATAAAGTGCTCTATGTCTTCAGGTTGTTCAGTATGATGTGATTTACTAAATGTATGATTTGATTAATCAGGAATCATACCTTTCTACTCAGCTAATCCCCATAGACAAACAAAAATAAAATAGTGACTGCGTTTTGAAGAAAAATAGTCAAGTAAAAGTACTGATACAGCATTAAAAGCTCAAGGGAAAGTAAAATTACACGTTTAAAAGTACTTAGTAAATAACAATTCCTGAGAAAAACTACTCAATTACAGTAATTCGAGTATTTGTGTATTATGAATTAATTAATTATTATTTTATTGATGTATTAATGTATTTCTCTCTCTCTCTCTCTCTCTCACTCTTTCTCTCTATCTGTCTCTCTCTCTCTCTCTGTCTCTCTGTGTGTATAGAGGACAAAACCTGCAGAAACAATAAATTAATAAATACACAAATAAATAAATTAATAAATCCACAAATTCTTGCATAAATAATACAATAAATAAGTAATTACACAAATGAATAAAAGAAAATGAATGAATAAATAAATATGCAAATAAATAAATGAATGAAGAAATAAATCCACAAGTTAATGCATACATTGAACAATAAATAAATAAATATGCAAACAAATAAATATATCTTCAAAATCCTGCATAAATAAATATATAAATAATTAAAAGTGCGGGCAGACTAATAATTAAATAAATTCCATGCATATTGGGGGAATAAGAAATTGCTAATCTAAAAATAGATTTTTACTTTTTAAAACACATTTTTTTCCGTACAATTTTATAGTCTCTCTAAATGTGATAACTGGGTAACTTTAAAAACATTTGTATTTTTTTTACAATGTTGCGCTACAAATTTACATATGTATATGTTGTATTTAGATATAGAGGATAAATAAATATGCAAAAAAAAAATATATATATATCCACAAATTTCTGCATAAATACAACTATAAATTATGAATAGTGCAGGCAGGTAAATAATTTAAAAATGTTGGGGGAATAAGTAAATGCTGAACTGAAAGTTGATTTATCTGCCCACGCTATTAATTACTTATCTATTTATGCAATACTTTATGAATTTTTATACATTTATACATATTTTTTTGTTTGCATATATATGTGTGTATATATATATATATATATATATATATATATATATATATATATATATATATATATATATACATACACATTTATTTAATTTAAATTTTTTTATTTATATATTCATTGTTTTATTTATGCAGGAATTTATTTATTTATTTATTTTAATTATTTATTTATTTATTTAATCATTGTTTTATTTACGCAGGAATTTGTTTATTTATTTACTTATTTATTCATTATTCATTGTTTTATTTATGCAGGGCATTGTGGATTTATTTATTTATTTGGATAATTATTTATTCATTGTTTTATTTATGCAGGAATTTATAGATTAATTTATTTGTTTACTTATTTAATTGGGTAGTTATTTATTAATTGTTTTGTTTTTGTAGGAATTTGTGGATTTATTTATTTACTCATTTATTTGGGTATTTATTTATTTATTCATCATTTTATTTATGCAGGAATTTGTGGATTTATTTATTTTGGTATTTATTTATTTACTTATTTATTTATTTGGGTATTTATTAATTCATTGTTTTATTTATGCAGAATTTTATTTATTTATTTATTTTATTTTATTTTATTTTATTTTATTTTATTTCATTTATTTATCGTTTTTGCAGGTTTCGACCATTTCAGTGGCGCATTTTGCATGTATATGTAAAATAACAAGCTGTCAGATTTAGCTTAGGCCTATCGAAAAGAAAATCTAATATGTGCTCTGACTTTCTAAACGATATGTCATACGCTCTCCATTTTCATTTTCTACCAGTCCATTAGAAAATAAATAATCACAAAATGGCAGCACGTTTCCCTTCTCTAAGTAACAACAGCTGTCAAAACAAATTGAGATTTCAGTTAGCAGAGCATCTCATTAAGCAATTCCGCCATGTTGCACTTTGTGGCTGTGCTAACGTTTTGTTTATTTATTTTTTATACGACAGTCTCATGGATCACCCAAGTAAAAACATTGCAAGTTCTTCCTCTTGTGGCTCATTTTGTACATTGCAACGTGCATGTCAATACTATTCGCAGTAGCCTACAGTACAGTACACGTATCTAAAAACTGTCTGTCACTTGTAATTGCTCACTTGCTGATATCAGC